CCATTTCGCAGATGAGAAAACTGAGGCTCAGAAGGTCCAATGATTGGCTCACATCCCCTCAGTGCATGTGCTTTGCTTACTAGGTGCCAGACACCGTGGAAAGCACCTGCCACGTGGTGACTCATTGATTTCCTCTAACATGGCTGGCATCCTCTTTAAAATTGCCAGGGACAATAATTCCCACCTTGGCCAGGGGAGGTGCTGAGAGGGTCAGAGCTCGCCTCCACAGCAGGATGTGCCCCACTGGAAATTGGATCTCAGCAGCCTGGCTCTCAACAGTGCATTTCCCTGTGACTTTGCTCCCGCCAAGATTGGGGGAGTTCCTCACCCCTGTGCTCAGAAAGGCTGTGTTTGTGAGCTCAGTGGAGTGCAGAGAAGAGGCTGTTGGCTGGAGAAACCCATGCAGCATTTGAGGCCGAATGTGGACACAAAAGTAGGGTTGATTTTCTCACAGTTCTGGAGGCTGGACGTCTGAGATCCCGGTGCAGGCGGTCGGGTTCAGGTGAGAGGCCTTTGCATATGGACACCTTCCTGCTGTGCCCTCATCTGGCAGAGACAAAGCCAGCTCTTGGGTGCCTCTTCATAAAAGGGCACTAATCCCATCAGCAGGGCCCCATCCTTGTGGCCGGATCTAACCCTATCCCCCCTCCAAAGGCCCCATCTCCAAATACCATCACATTGGAGGTTAGGGCCTAAACAGAAATTTGGGGGACACAATTTGGTCCACAGCAGGGACTATACAGGTGAAAGGTTTGGTCAAGGGGACAAGTCAGAGTTTAGGCTCTGTCTGCATATCCCGGGAGTTACCCTGTGTCTCAGGGGCACCTGGTGTAATGTCACTCACTTAGAGTCCTTGCCGCTGGTCACTCTGGGCAGCCTCTGAATTGAGAGCAGCAAGTGTCATGCTCAGGCCTGTGAACCTCACTTGGAAAAATTTACCACGAGGCCTGTTCCCTGCTCGGACCTGGTGGGATTTCTCCTCTTGCCTGCGAGCCTGGAAGAGGTGGGCTGGGGGGTCCAGGGGAACCCCGCTTTACCTTGCTGATTCCTCACAGGCTCTTGGCCCCACAGGAAGCTGGAGGGTGCTTGGCCCTGCACTTGACCTCTCCCTCCCTCTCCCCCAGGCACGTGGGTGGGTGGGTTGGCTTCTCCAGGGTTGGGCCCCAGGGTGAGGCATTGCCAAGTACCTGTGGGGACAGGCCTGCATGCCCAGGCAGCCTGCAGGTCGGTCAGTGCTCATGCCCAAGGGCCTCGAGGGAGGCAGACGTGGCTGGAACCCGGGGAGCAGGGGAAGCGTAGGACAGCACATAGACGGATGGGCAGTGTGTGACGATCGGCATGCTGCCTCCCACGTGGCCTTAGGAAGTGTGTGGTTGTGCCTTGAGCTGGTCGGGACATACGTGGAAGGGCACAGAATGACCTGGAAGGTGAATTTATGGGAGGGTGCAGTGAGGCTGGGCTGGAAGATTCAGTCAACGTCCAGAAAACCCTTGCCACGCGTCAGCTTGTAAGGAAGGTGGTTTTCGAAGGGAAGGTCTCCTGAGCAGAGCAGGTGGGGCTGACCTCCTCCCAGAGGCCACAGGGACGTGGTGAGTGACGCTGGGGCTCGGAGGCAGCGGCTCTGGAGGGAAGCGCTTCCCGCTGCCCCAGCTCCCACCTGGCCGGCCCGCTGCCCTCCTCCGCCTCCGTGCCATCCGTCCCGCCTGAGCAGAGAGAAGTAAACTCAAATGTCAGAACACACACTCGGCCCGTTCCTCCAACCCCCAGAGAGAGAGACGGCTTCCCAACAATTAGGTATTTATTTTATCATCTCATTTTGTGGTCGCAGGCCACTCTGTGGGTTTGGATCGCTGCTGCTTTCCAGAATGGCAACTGGATGCAGTAACAAGTGCTTTTCTTTTGTTTCTGGTTAAAAAAAAAAAAAAAAAAAAAAAAAAAAAGCCCCTCTGTGCAGCACTGTGCTTGCGGCTGAGGCCTCTCGGCGGAGGTTTTGGGTCGAGGCCTGGAGCGATGGCTGGAGCACAGGAAGCAGCGGTGTGTGTGCAGAACGCGCTCCTGCCTGTGCTGCCGCCTGAGCGCCGTGCGCTGGCCTGGCCGGAGGGGTGCAGCGTCGCTGCGTGCGATCAGGAGAAATTGTGCTGAAGCGGAGAAAAGGCCCGGGCACAGGGCAGGCTTGGCTCCCGTCTGTGCTTACACAGTTGGCCAGTGCTTCCTCGCAGGGCGGTGTGGCTTGGAGAGAGTCCAAATGGTTTCTCCCTTGATCTGAGCCGCTGTGTGATTATGGAGGAAGTGGGCCGGGGAAGAGACGGTAGCATGTTCTGAACTGGTCGGGACTGGTTTTCACTGGAGGACCATCTGGCGGAGCGCACCTGAGCCGAGTCTGACCCCCATCAGCTCCCTGACACAGATGCACCCGGGCCTCTTCCCTCTAACTGCACCCGCGTCTGTGTTCTCATCGGCTGCCAGCTGCTTGTAGAATCAGTCAAGGTGGCAGGTTCTCGGGTCTGTGTTTCTTATGCTTTCATGCTGGTTATCAGTGTTGATTGATCAGGGAACCTCTTCCCACCTGTACCCCAAATTAATCCCTGAGACTCACTGGATGAGCCCAAGGGTTAGGCCTGGGGTTGGAAAAGCACAGCTTCACTCTGTAGGCCTTCAGCTTCTCGAAGCACCACAGAATGGGGCAGCAGTTCTAGAGCCAGAGGCCTCCCTCCCTGTCTCAGGGAGGGTTTGTGGTTGTCACCCAGGGGGCATACGGTACCTCAAACACGGGGGGTGGGGGCGCACGTGGAGCTGGGGCCTGATCTCGGCTCTGCAGTGCCGGGAGGCTGCTCATGGCCAAGCCGCTCCATCTTTCTCTGCCTCCGCAAGTTGACCTGAGAAATGGGCACCATCCTACCAACCCCACCTATGAGGGAGGATGGCTGGTGGTTTGGGTCTTCAGTTGACTTTTGGGTCTTAGTTGAATTAAAAGGGGCCCTTTCTCTGGCTCTGGTGGCTTTGTCTTCCCCTGAGAGACAGACAATTAAAGAGTGAAACTGCATGACTAAACAGGAAGCTGCACCCCAAAAGGCCACAGACACCGCTGACATTCTCTGCAGCAGAAGCTAGCCGCATTCGTTGGCCAATTTGAAGCTTTGTAAATTCTCTGAACTCCGGTGCAGAGGGGTGGGGAATGGAGACAGCGTAGGCTCGGCTTCATGGGGCCAGCCTCTGAGACTTCCCCCCTCAGAGACCCCGTGTACTGGCCAGCTGTGCGGAGAGCCCAGTCCCTGGGGTTCCGGAAACCTGGGATCGAATCCCTGCTCCCAGGGTGTGACCGGCCCCTGGCACCTGCTCCGTGCTGCCTGAATGGGTACATGTGGACAAAGCGAACATACCTTGGCCATGACAGCACCGTGGGGATGATTTTCTCGGAGTAACAGTGGAGCCAAACGCGCCACCTTGAGCTCCAGTGGGGTCCACCCTGCTGTGTGGCAGAGAAGGGGAGACGGGCGAGGGGCTCGTGTCGTGTGGACACCGGAGGTTTTAATTTCCCAATCTATTCTGAGGGGCAGATCCAGAAGCATGTGAATATGGAGGGGATGTGGGCTGTGACCAAAACTGGCCTGAACAACCGCAAGTAGGGAGTGCGTTTCCTATAATGGGGACAAGCAGAGCAGGGCTCTTTTCCTGGGGGGAGGGAGAGTAAGGGGGGACATGGAGGTGGGAGTGAGTCAGAGTTTGGTTTCGGTCATATTTGAGAGGCCCAGTGGGCAGTGAGGTGTCTAAATCTGAAGTTCAGGTGTGAGGTCTGGGCTAGAAGACATGGATTTGGCCGCTGTTAGGATATGGTTGATATTTTAAGGCGCTGAATGATGGGTTTCGGACAAGCCAGGGTGGAGCAGAGGTAGGGGAAGGACAGTGAGGAGCTGCGACAGGCACCTGAGATTTTGGCAAGTGGGCCTCTCTGCTTCAGGAGAGGGCCTGAGATGCCTGGGCCGTACTGAGGAGTGGGGGCGGGGAGATGGTTATTTTGTCCTGGGCTGTGGCCACCTGCGCTGAACCCCAAACCAACCTATGGGAGCCCGACCTGTGGGAGCTGAGTGCTCAGTGCCTTGACGGTGAGCTTCAGATCTCAGCGAGTGCCTCTCCTGGAGAGAACATCGGGTTTAGCTCATGACGCTAGGAATCAGGCATCTAGCAACAGCGGGATCCCTCCCTGGGGGAAATGCATCTCAAGCTCTTTCTCAGCCAGGGAGTCAAAACGGGCCCTGGCCTTCTCCTGTGGCCACTGAGAGGGGACGGAGAGAATACATGTTTGAAACCCGTAGGCATTCCACTGCCGCAGAGGGGAGTTTACTGTGGTTTTAAAATGAAGAGAAAATGTGACATAACGGAATGGTTTGTAAAGTTGACAGCTCAAGGCTCCTTTTTAAGGGCCTTCGGTGCTTTGATGGGGCAGGGCCATAAGAATAAGTTGCTTTTTAAAAAAATTGCCAACCAATGCAACAGGAAGAAAATCTGAATTCTTAGGAATTTGCATGCCCACTGAGGTGGGATCACCACTAAGAACAAAGCAGGGTCCACTTAAAGCCTGAAGAAGGGTCTCATGGGAGCAGATCCCTCATGAAATTCTGACATTCTCTGCAGCAGAAGTTAGCTGCTAAAGTTGCAACGCATTCGTTGGCCATAAAGAGCAGCACGGTGGTTTTGTCTCGCTTAAACCATCAAACCAGGACATCTCCTTAATCTGCTGCTGCACTTCCATCTCCCCACTTCTTTGCACAAAGTCCCTCATGTCAGTGATGGCTGCCCTGGTTTGGGGTTAATTCTGGCGCCAAGGTTAAGATGACACCGGATTTGAGCAGAGGGTTACGTCCTGTCCTGGGTCCCACGCGGCCCTGGTTTTAATGAGATACTCATTAAATGACTGATATGAGCATGAGTTGCAAGCATAATAGAGGTCGAAGATGACGTTGATTCTTCTTCTCAAAAATGGTTTTGCAAATCTCTTTCAGAGCTGATAGACACAAACCTTAGCTGGATACAAAACATATTATGAAACAGAATGACTGTGATCTTTGATCCGAGAAATCAAACTTAAAGGTAATTCATATCTTCTGCCTCTCCTTTTGTTTTCCAGCTGTGTTTTCCCTTAACTTGAATTAAAGAAAACTTTACAACCTGAAGTCCATCCTCACAGACACCATTTCCTGCTCTCAGAGGCTGGGCCCCTCCACTTTGTAAGGGGGGAATCCCCCTGGGGGACGCCCCTGGGATGCTCTGGGTCTGTGAGGCTGGAGCTCAAGGTTGGGGCGGGCAGGAGGGGGTGGGGCTCTGGGAATTTGCATGCTCTCCCAGGGCTCCCATCACCCTTCCCAGGGGATTGCAGCTTTGTCATGCTCCCATGTGAAAATTCTGCTACCTCTTTTTGGTTTTCGTCTACTTTGCTTGGTGGATGCACTTAGGCAGGCTCTCCGTCAGCGGTGGGACGTTCTTCGGGGGAAAAGAGAGAGGGCAGGTAGATAAGAAAACCCAGGCAACTACTCTCTTACCATGCTTGCCCTCCCCCACCCCAGTCTTCATCAGCTTAAGTGGCTGCTCGGTGTCCCCACTGAGCCCACACAGCCCCTCATTGAGCTTTAAGCTGTAGATCCACCTCAGTCGGCTTTGGGTCCTGGGCCTGCAGAGAGCCTGGCAGCTGACACTTTACGATGCAGGTGGCTCTGTGGGCGTGGTTCGTGCGGGACCCTAAGGAGGTTGCTTTACGGCTCTGTGCCTCAGCTTCCAGCTGAGACGTCACCTCGGCCCGTTCTGGTCAGACCCAGCGAGGTGCCCAGCACCTGGCAAGCGTGCACCGAAGCCAGCGCCTCAGCACTGGAGTTTCCGTGTCTCTGGACCTCTCCCGGTCACCACCGGGCTGTGTCCTTTGAATGGTCCTTGGTCAGTGGTTCATACCTCACAGGACAGACCCAGAAGGCCTCATGCCAGTGGGACTGAAAACACAGAACAGCCCTCAGATGCCATGCTTAATAGCACACACAGTGACAGCCCAGGCCCCTGCTCCCCAGAGGGTGGGACCACTTCGACGCCGCCTCCCACAGGCAGCGTGAGCTCCGAGTCAGGAGGGGCACCTTCTCAGCCGTGACCACCCAACACTGCCGACAGGCAGAGGCAGCAGTGCCACCCCCAGTGCCCATTGCTGGGTCCCCACCAGGTGCAGGCTCCCCAAGGAGGAGTCAGGATGACAAATGGAACTGCAGTGCCGAGAGGATAGCTCCTGGAGGGGTCAGAAGCGGCCCTCCCTCCCTGGTTAGAGCTTGGCAGTGCTTCTGACCCACAGTGGCCGGGGACTTGGCCTCAGAGGGAACTCCTGCTCAGACCCCACCACAGCTCACCGAGGGGTTTGTCCTTTTCCCTGAGCCTCAAACGTCTAGCCCTGTGGTCAGCAAACTGTGGCTCTCGAGCCACATGCAGCTCTTTGGCCCCTTGAGTGTGGCTCTTCCACAAAATACCACGGCCTGGGCGAGTCTATTTTGAAGAAGTGGTATTAGAAGAAGTTTTAAAAAATTGGCTCTCCAAAGAAATGTCAGTTGTTGTACTGTTGACATTTGGCTCTGTTGACTAATGAGTTTGCCAGCCACTGGTCTAGCCCCTCCAGAAAGCCACGTTCCCAGGTGTATCAGAGCAGCCGAGGGGCTGGGAGAAAACAGAGCGTTTTACTTGTGAAACCAAAGTTGCAGGAGAAGAGCCCAGGACCTTTCCACCTGCTCCTGGGGGACACGGCCTAGAGCTTGCATTTACCTCCAGAGCAGCTTTCCCCACGAGCAGCTGGAGCAAGAGGCAGAAGCACCCAGCGGGCATTTCCTGTGCCGTGTCCCACCCCCTCATCTTGCCCCATGGGTGGGTCTGGGGACCGAATCCAGCAGGGCGCTGCAGGCGGAGGGCAGCGGGCAGGCCTTTGCACCCATGTTGGCTCTCAGACTCTCCCATTTGGCCCAGAGCGTGCAGCCGCCTCAATTCCCTCCCAAGCTCGAGTGTCTTTCTGGCCACAGCCCTTGCTGCTGGCCCCAGGTTCTCGTGGGCGCTCACGTGGTCTAATCGAAGTTCAGAAAGCATGCTTGAGGTTTGGGAGAGAGGCAGGATGGGGTCTGTCCACTCCCTTCCTGTTGCTTTTTTCTCAGGGGATTAAGTTCCAAAGTCAGCAGTTCGGGGGAAAAGGCCTCGAAAGTCTCCTTGGTCCTACAGAAGAGTACGTGCGTGTGGTTTTGTGTGTGCAGCCCTGCGCAGCCATTCCCTGCAAGCCCACGTGTGAGAGCCTCGGCTCAGCTAGAGGGCTGTCGCATACATCTGTCTGGGCCTCCCAGCGCGCCAGAAAATTCCCGGGGCAGCGTGAGATACTCCCAGCAATCAATTCTGTTTTTACAAATGTAGCCCTAAATCACCCCAGAATTGCTTGATGCACAAAACCAGGAAGAGATATTGACTTCCCCACATTGCCCGCCTTCCCCCAACCCTCCAAAAGTAGGTGAAGAAAACACTGGGTTTTCCTTTTCTTCTTTGCCATTGGGAGATGCCAGTGGTCGGCAAACTCATTTGTCAACAGAGCCAATAACAACAGGACAACGATTGAAATTTCTTTTGCGAACCGAATTTTTTAAACTTAAACTTCTTCTAACGCCACTTCTTCAAAAGAGATTCGCCCAGGCCGTGGTATTTTGTGGGAGAGCCACACTCAAGGGGCCAAAAGAGCCACATGTGGCTCGAGAGCCGCAGTTTGCAGACCACTGGTATATATAAGGGGTCATTGAACTACATCGCAGGCCAAATCTGGTTCCCGGCCCATTTTGGTAAATAAAGTTTTATTGGCACACAGCTATGCCCATTTGCTCACATACTGTCTAGGGCTAGGGCTGCTCTCCTGCTCCAGCCACTGAGCTGAGGGATTAAGGGGCTATTGTCATCCCTGAAAATGTTTCTATCCGGCCCTGTACAGGAAGAGTTTAGTGACCCCTTTGATATTCTCCTTCTGTCTACAGCACATGTGTCAAACACAAGGCCCGCGGGCCAAATCCGTCCCGCCAGGCCTTGCAATGTGGCCCGCACCGCGCTGTCATCACTGCACTCCGCTGCGTTTCCATCACAATGACAGTTTATGACTGTTCAGTAAACCATTCGGCCCGCGATTTAGGCTGGATTTTAGATTTTGGCCCCTTCTCTGATTGAGTTTGACACCCCTAGTCTACAGCATATATTAGAATTCTAATTTCTTGTTGACTTGGAATACCTCTGTATATATGAATGACTTTTGGTCACCCATTGAAAACATTTGGAATTTTGAAGAGTGTGTAACTTTGATGTACTTACATCTGTCCGTCTTCTCCTTTCTGGCTTTGGCCTTAGGGTCAGGCTTAGCGATCGCCCTGCGGGGGTAGACCTGTTCCTCATCGGTGTTCTCATTACGGTGCCTCTAAGCTGATAAAAGGTCAGGGGTGCTTGTGGCCGACCCAGCACCGCTGGCCTCAATTCTGTTCTGAGAAAGTGAGGCTCAGTGACCACCTTAACCGCCCGGCTCATGACTTTCTCTGCTGGTGACTCACACAAAAGCCACTTGAGGCCTCCAGGGCTGTAAGAAGGGTGACGATTGCTGAGCTTAATAGCACGGTCTCTGTACCACCAGCCATGTAGTGTCCCTGTTTGTGAGATGAGTCCTGGGTTCTGACCCTGACCCCCTCTCCTGCTGTCTCTGTTTCCCCACCCATAAAGCAAGCATATTCTAGTACTAGGTTTGGTGTGAGAAATAATTTAGCCCTTAGAACCGTGCCTGGCACACAGTTCACCCTCAATCAGTATGAATGGATTCTCTTCTTTTGTAGGGAAAATGCTTTGTCAATCGGATGACAAAGGAAAATCAGCTTCCCTAGAAAAAGCAACCCAGGCTGCTGATATGGAGTTCTTGTGGTGGGCTAAGATACATGCAGTAGGCACCTGCTGTGTGCATGGTGCTGTCCATGGTAGTGAGGACACAGGTGACTCCAATAACCTGGCAGAGGAGAATTCAGTACAGTTGATCCTTGAACAGCATGGGTTTGAACTCTGTGGATCTACTTATCCATGGATTCTTTTCAATAGATACTGCAAATGTGTTTTTCTCTTCCTTATGATTTTCCAATATTTCCCCCTCTGGCTTAGTTTATGGGAAGAATAAAGTACATAATATAGCTTACAAATTGTGTTGACTATGTTTTTCAGTAAGGCTATTGAAGTTAATTTTGGGGAGTCAAAAGTTCCATGTGGATTTTCCACCTGCGCAGGGGGTCGCTGCTAAGCCCCGTGTTGTTCAAAGGTCAACTGTACTTGCTTCAGGAGGGAGTGAGGGCCCCGTGGTGGGGGCGTGATGGCCTGTGGGGACAGGCAGGGGGAAGCTAGGATTTGAAGAAGGGAAGAGGCTAGTTGTAGACCTGCACGTAGTCAATTTTGGAAGACATGGAGGAGAGGCTGGCCTAGGGTAGATGCTCAGAACACTCATTGATGGCATCGGCATAGGGAATGGTTCAGCGCTCAGGCCTCCGAGTCAGGCCTGGGAGCAAAGCCCGGGGTGAGCTGGGGCTATGTAACCCCTGTCTAAGTGTCATTATTCTCATTCATTAAACATGTTAGCGAGCACTTCCTATGGAAGGAGGACTGTTAGAGAGCTGGGTACGTGGGGTGGGGGTAAGAACATAAACAAAGCACCAGAGAATTCCCGGGAACCGGTCCTCAGAGGAGCCGAGGGGACCCCACAATGGGGAGGGGCACTGAGCATCACCCCCAGGGCAGGCTCCTGGAAGAGACCACCCAGAGCCCTGAATGAAGAGAGGAGGAAAAGCAGAGGCTGGGGCAGGAGCTGGGCACGACGGAGCGCAGGGCCCAGGAAGCTGGTGTGGTTGCCATGCAGGCGGGGGAGGGCGGCAGGGCCAGGTCATGGGGCTGCAGGGAAGCAGGGGGAGGCCAGGCTCGGAGCAGGGTTCTAGGAGAAGGGAGGCCTGAAGTGCAAGGACAAGTTCCGAGCAAGGGAGTGAGGCTAAGGATGCACGAATGAGGGGACAGCAGGGCTGAGAGGGGAACCCCCAGCCTCCCCAAGGACAAGAGCTGGGAAAGACAAAGGGAGGGATGCCAGGCGGACACCATGGAAGGGAGGCGAAGGGCAGTGCATCTCCCTGCCTCTCTTCCCTGCGCCAAGACAGAGTCGGGATGAAGTGGTCATGCAGACCCTCTGAGGTTTCAGGAAGAGAGGGTTCCTCTCCCGGGAGGTTTCGTGGGGTTTGGTGGGCCTTACTGCCTGGCCACCTCCTACCCCCGAGGGCGGGCCGTCGCAGTAAGTGCACCGGCTCCTGCGCGGTCCAGAGGCTGCTGGGCTTCTACCTGAGAGTGGCTCGCAGCCAGCAGGAGGGAAAGCGGCTTGTGTCCCAGCGTCCACCCCTGTCCTGGCCCCCCCCAAGCCCCAGGTCTGACCAGGGAACCGGCCTGTGGAGTGCCCTGATGCCAGCGGCTCTGCCCACCAGCTATTTTTAGAAGCCAAGGCGGTGGAAAGTTTCCGCTGAGGATCGACTCCTCTCATTTCCTAGGTTGAGAAAACAGGAAGCCCTTCAGAATCCGGGCTTTGAAAAGCTTCGCTGACCCCGCACCCCCCCCCACCCCCCTCCCCCTGGCACCCAGCTTTCTCGGGGCCTCACAAAGGCCTTGGTTCACCAGGCCCCGCAGGGCTCTCGAGGGGTGGGGCTAGGGCAGCCATTCGCCATTGGTGCCTGGGGTAGGGCTCCCAGAATTCCCCTGGTACCTGGCCCATAGTAGGTGCCTAATGGATGCTGGTTAGCTGAATCTGTCCATTCATCCTCTGAGTGCCCACTCACGGATCCCCTTCCACACTGGAAATGCTTGCTATTCTAACATACATTTGCAGGCACTAACATACATGTGTCATATTCAGATATGAACATGCATGTCACATACATACGTACTTCTCTACAAACCAATACCTGCTAGACACTGGCCACTGAGGTAACTGTCAGTTGCATCATCGCATCCAAGCTCCTCAACAACCTTAGAAGGTAACATTTTTATATAAAGTTTACAGATGGGGAAACTGAGGCACAAAGTACTTCCATCACTCAGGCAGGGTTCAGCAAATGGGGAGTGGCAGAGGCAAGACGTGCTCTCGGCAGGCATCCCTCTGAAGAACAGCGAGCTGTGCCAGACTGGCTGCTGGTGCGAAAGAAAGCATGAGCCCAGCGTGCACCACACAGTGCGGGGGTATCGCTAACCATCGCAGCCACCGGCGACAGAACCCCCTTCCCCAGGCAGGTGCAAGGAGTTTGTACGTCCATCGCGCCTTGCATTCACCCCAAAGGGCACTCACTGTTATGATCCCTACTTTGCAGAGGAGAAAACCGAGGCACAGGGAGGTAAAGTCACATGGCAGCCAGTTTTGTGAGGGAGCCTCGCCTCGCCTGACCTGTCCAGCTCTAAAGCAGTTTACTCGCGCCCTCCTCTTATTTCGGGGGTTGCAAACTCATCCGGGCAGGGGTCTTCCTGGGAAAGGCACTCCGGACCTAGGAGGACCCAGCTTGAACAGGGAGAGACTGTGAGCAAATCTCCACAGTGAACCCTGACTTCGAATTGTCGGTCTCTAACTGTAGGCAAGGCTACGATGAGAAGAGAAATAGGAGGCGGCGGTGGGAAGGAGGCAGCGTCAGAACAAGGAGAGGGAGGTCCATGTCCCTTTGAGGGGACCGCTCAACTGCCAACCCGAAGGTGTGCACACCCCTTGGGGCAGGCGCACACCCTGTGTCGGTCGCGTTGATGGCAGGGTCTTCTTTCCAAGGATGTAAAAGGGAGCTTTTCACAAGGGCCACTGTTCTAAGACCTCATTACCTGGATTCTAGGAACCAGCGTCCTCGATAAGTGGCCCAAACGGGAGAGGAGAGAGCTGGTGCCTGTGTCCTGGAGAGAGAGGCCACCTTCTACCTGAGAAGACTTGCCATGTGGGGCGGGTTCCTGGTTGTGCTGAAATAGAGATGTTTAATGGGGCCAGTGCACGAAATTCGTGCACGGGGGTTTTGTCCCTCAACCCAGCCTGCACCCTCTCCAATCTGGGACCCCTCAAGGGATGTCCAACTGCCCCTTTAGGCCCAATCCTAAACGGGCAGTTGGACATCCCTCTCACAATCCAGGACTGCTGGCTCCCAACTGCTCGCCTGCCTGCCTTCCTGATTGCCCCTCACTGCTTCTGCCTGCCAGCCTGATCACCCCCTATCCACTCCCCTTCCAGCCTGTTTGCCCCTAACTGCCCTCCCCTGCAGGCCTGGTTTCCCCCCCACCCCCCGAACTGCTCTCCCCTACAGGCCTGAGTCCCTCCCAACTGCCCTCCCCTGCTGGCCTGATTGCCCACAACTGCCCTCCCTTGCAGGCCTGGTCCCTCCCAACTGCTCTTCCCTGCTGGCCATCTTGTGGAGGCCATCTTGTGTGTTGAGTGATGGTCAATTTGCATATTACTCTTTTATTAAATAGTATTAGTGGCCAGTCTTTGTCTGTGGTGTCCCCCCACCACCCTTTTAAAGGCCTCTTTTGGGAGCTGTACATGCTGTGGGTCAAGGAAATGTGTTTCAGCCATGTAATAGGTATTTTCTGGATGTCATAACAATAGAAGGAGTTTGGTATGCAATAGAGAGCCTGCAGTGCATTAAATACAAATATGAACAAGGTCCAGTGCTTGAGCATCAACCTATGGTTCGATTCCCAGTCAGGGCACATGGCTGGGGTGCAGGTTTGATCCCAAGTGTGAGGCATGCAGGAGGCAGCCGATCAATGATTTTCTCTCATTATTAATGTTTCTATTGCTCTCTCCCTCTCCCTTCCTCTCTGAAATCAATAAAAATATTTTTTAAAAGACAAAAATTAAAAGTCAGAAGGAGAGAAACTTACGGAAAACCTGCTACAAGGGCCAGCTCCATTTCTGCCGTGATTTTTTTTTAAAAGTTACCATTTAGACAACTTTCCCCAACAAATCCATAGGAAGGCATTTCTTATGCTAAAAACTCAAACATGTTACTGCAGAGAACAAAAATGTGGGGTTTTTTTTTTTTGTTTTTTTAAAAAGCCGATTGTTTTTGGCTTTAGAAAGTGACTGTGATCTGTGTTTTTGGTGCCTCTCACTCACCCTCACTCTCTCTCTTTTCTTTTGTAGTTAACGAAATCATCAGGAAGGAGTTTTCAGGACCGCCCACCAGAAATCAGACGTAGAAGCAGTCATTAGCAAGACACCTTCGAACCCGTCCCCTCGGAGCCCTCCTCGCCCCTCCCGTCTTCCTGGCGGGCCCTGCCTGCCCGGAGTCCCAGCGGGCAGCGCTCTTCCTGGCAGACAGCCGCCTCGTCAGGAGCTCGCCACCTCTCTCTGCAAACACAGCGAGGACCCTCTGCCTTTTGATATATATTTTCTGTCTTAAATCCCAAAGAGCATCTCGGTGGACTTTAATGGTGTCCCGTCCAAACCTAAGTGCCTGCTGAACAAAACCAAATTCTGATCAAGACAGCACGCCGGGCCACACCTGAGAGCCGGTGACGAGCTCATGGCATGGCTGGTGGGGGACGGAAGACGCGGCCCTGTGGTTAAACCCCCGTCTCTGCTCATGTCCCCAGCCCGCACCTCCCGGGGGACAGGAGTTCCCAAACCGAGCGGGCAAAGGAATGCAGCCCAAGAGTCCAGCTCGCAGGCTGAGGGATCGGAGAAGCCAGCCGTCATCCTTCGGGCCACCGGGGCGTGCCCCGGTGGGGCCACGGCTAACACTTATTCCTAAATTCTCATCCAGAAGCAAAACTGGCCTGGCCCCTGCAAGATCCCCTGTTAGAACTTCTTGGAGTTAAGTTAGGACACGTATGCTTTTTCCCTGCTTCATATGGCCGGCCACGGTGGCTGGAGGTGGACCCGCCCTGGCCAGCAGCTCCCACTCCACAGCGCGGCCTAGTACTCGCTGCAGAGTGAGCGCCCTGGCTGCAGCCACGGCCTAAAGGCTCTGCGACGTTCCCGCGTGCTTTCTTCCCAACAGCCAGAGTGCTCTCCCGGCAAGGCGTTCAGAGAATCCCACGCATGAGCATTGCAATTTCAGAAGGAATGGCACAGGGCAAAAGCAATTCCCCGACTCCCCCGCCCCCCCCCCCCCCAAAAAAAAAAAAAAGCACAGGCATTTTTGCACAGGCATTTTTGTGAAGTGGTTGTGAAGAGGCAATTGGCAGGCCTGAGGGTTCCCCTGAGTGGGCACCCCCAGCAGGGAAAAGGGGCCGAGTTCCCTCTTTCTGGCCTAGACTCTAAGTGGGACACTCCAGCTCAGGATCTGGCCCTAAAGGTCATTGGTTATTTTAACTGGAACCTATTGAAAGGCCTGCTCGGCCCCAAAGACCTTTCTGCACAGCTGCCTCCTCCAGCACAGGGCTCCCCTAGCTATGTGTGTCCCCGCCCCCTCGCTTTTCTCCACTGAGCACATCCAGGGTCCCCCAGAACCTCCCTCCTTCGGTGCAATTTTGCCAACAAAACTCTCAAAGTTCTTGGCAGGTGAGTTTTTGTCGCAAAGATGTGTTTTGTTTGCATTTACTGCAGACACCCCTAGCCTTTCAGCGGCTTCCCTGGCAGTGAGTGTATGCCTGGCGCTCTGGGAGAGGCCGTGCCTTCAGAGATTTCTGAGCACGTCTGCTGGATGGAGGGACTCACTGCAGTGGAGAGTCCCTGTGGGCTTTCTGAGTGCTGGCTTTCCCATCAGGGTTGCTCAGAGGTCAAACCTCCCTGAGAGCCGGGCCAAGGGTGCAGGACTTGGTGTGTTCGGTGCCCCGGAGAGAGGACAGAATGCCCAGGGTGGGCCTTTGCACTCTCCTGTCTATGACCTTTTGCTCAAAATGACCTTTCACCCCAATGACAGAGGCCCACGCCCCCGTCCACCCAAGCACAAAGTTTAGCAGAAATCCTTTTAGACAGACAGAATGCCCGTAAGAAGGCAACCACTGCCAAAAGCTTCGGGGATGCAGAATTCTTCCCAATAGACAGATCCTTCCACAAGCAGCTCTACCCAAAGACCTTTCTCTCCAGCATCACCGACTTCCCCGGGGAAGAGCTCATGGGTGCAGCGAGGGACGCGCTCCCGCTGACCTGGCCAGGAGCCACTTCTTTTGCACATGAGGAAATTTGGCCTTTCCTCGGCTCTCTGAATGTTTCACCCAAGTGCCTTCCTGCCATTGTAGCAAAGCCGCTCGCTCGGCTTCCCTGTGCATGAGGTGCAAAAAGGACTAATGCATTTTCCATCCTTCTCCTAACCATGTTAGTGACAAGGGCCTCCTGTGAGTTCTGACCCCTGTATATACGTGTGTGTGTGTGTGTGTGTGTGTGTGTGTGTGTGTGTGTGTGTGTGAGAGAGAGAGAGAGAGAGAGAGAGAGAGAGAGAGAGAGAGAGAGAAACTCTCTTTTTCTAAGACATCTTAGCTGGATATTATAGGAAGCATTTCCATAACACAACGATCCCAAAAAAAGCAAAGGAGAGAGAAGCAAGGACGTTCATTTTGAGACACAAATAGGCATGCAATCATGCTGTGAGGAACTGACAGCTGTGGAGAAAGTTCTGTCCGTCACAGACGCCGGAGGAAATTTTGCCAAGAGGAATTGCTCACGAACTGTCTTCAGGATGGGAAGAGGCCAGCAGGTCCTCTAGGAGGAGCAGAAGGCGGAGACGTCTACATGGTGAAGGTGTGTGTGTGTGGCATGTGTGCTGGAAGGACCTCAGTTAGGTGGAGGTGTGCACCTGCCTCTTCCATGGTCAGTGGGACAGGTAGCACTTCCGGCGGAAACCTGCAGTGTTGCTGAATGTAGTCTATCTCCGACGTTTGCCATCTACCCGCATTGTAGAAAAATTCTGCTGCTTGGTAATATATAATAGCGATCCAAAATCATATGTTATTAAATTTTATTTTCTTATCTGTATTTTTATGCTTTTTATCTGTCCTCAACATAGTGCACCCCAGTTGGAATTAGAAGAATATTTATAAATGGTCAGAAGTCTTTTTCCAGTATATCTTTTAACATCTATGTTGATCCCTGTCCCCCCCTCCCCCCAAGAGAAATGATGTATTCTTGAAAAGGTGTTAAATCATTCCAGGAAAAAAGACAAAACCCCACCTCAGAGCCTGTCAGTCACCTGTCTCCCAGACAGAAGCATCTCCGGAGAAAGGGGGAGTGGCTCTGTGGCAGAAGGAACCACGGATCTTGCTTGAGACCAATGTTGCCTGACTTCAGCTCTGAGCCTCGATCTTGTCACCGAGAACTGTCCTGTCAAGTGTTTCGATCCCTCAGTAAGTAGATGGTCTAAAACACCTGCCTGCACTGTAATGGGATTCCAGAAGCATCCGTGTTCACAGAAATGTAAGCGCAACCTAATGTTTACAGAGCTGACTGAATCCTGGTAGATACCCCACTCACGTGATGCAGAGGGCGGGCACTCGGAGTTTCCCAGCGCAGACACGGCCCCTGATGAATGCCTTGGTTCCTCCTAAGAGCTGGGAAGCCCTGGAGAGCTTTTCCTGCTGCCATCCTTCTGGAAAGCAGCCTCGGCCGAGGTGGCGGCCGTCCCGTTGACAGATCGGAAGCCGGTGCGTTCCGATTGTCACTCTGGACGAAAGCGAGGCAGGATTTGTTTATTTTCGTGTCAACAGACACTTCCCAAGTGCTTCCTGTTGTTCAATGTTGAAAGAATGTCCGGGACCCCATTCACAACTGCTCGCTTCTTGTTTACAGTAAGCATAGGATAGTGACATTCTTGGCAAGCAGGGGTATCAGCTTTCCTGAACTTACATTCTTGGAAGGACAGCACTCTAGCAGGCACCCGACAGGCCTTAACCTGGTGTCTTCCGAGCGTGAGACTTGGGCATCCAGGCTCACGGAACCCCACCAGCCGATGCCCGTGTTTTCCTGCATCCCAGCTACATATGAAAGCAAAAAGGAAGCTGGGATGGCAAGCATCTATCCCCGTCTCCCCACTGCTTTCCCAAGTGCCCCAAGCTATAGCCAACATCAATGTCTTAACTCAGTTTGTTCACGAACAAACTTCTCTGGTGCTGGCGAGCTAGAGGCGCTCTCTGAACAAGCCCCTCCAGAGCGGGACGGGGTGCTGGTGCTGGGAGGAAGGCCGAACACTGCCTCTGTCAGGGTTTGCATGAACTGGATGCAAATGATGCTGCTTCCAGGAGAGGAGGGCTTCCAGCATTCTGATTGGCTGTGGTTGGAGGAGCTTAGCATCCGGAACACATCACCAGGCCCTAGGCCCTCAGTTACCCCCTCGCCTCTGCTGCCCTCGGAGGGGAGAGAGTGCTGAGAGGGTCCTCGTGCGTTCCTCGCGATCCCAGTCTCTCCGGCCGGTGCCGCTGGGAGGCGTAGGTTCTGAAAATCGACTGTTAAAGGAGTTTGAATACATCACATTCCTATGCAAGACGTTTTTAATCTCCAGTGTAATGTAGTTTATTTTTGCTATCTGTAAAGTATTTTTATACGGCTTGTATCATGATAGCTTAGCAATAAAACCGTTGAAAGCACAGGCTGCTGCTTTGATGCCTCATTTCTCTGGGGAGACGGGCTGCTCACATATCCCCTTTCTGTGCTGAGTTCATACAGCAAGGAGCCTTTTGGGGGTACACACACTGTGTCTACTCCTCATCTCAGCCCTCGGAGTGGGAACCATTCACTTCACACCTCACACTGGGGCGCAGAAGCCACCGGCCCGTGTGGTCACTGCACTTGTCAGATCCCCCTGCTCCTTCCAGCCCTGCCCTCGCCAGCGTCTCTAGGCCTCTCGAAGGAGCACCCAGGTAAGTTAGGTTTATAACGTCTAACCATTCACTTCACACTTCATACCATAGTGGGGCCCAGAGCATTTACAGCCAACGGGCCGAGCTGGCCCTCAGAATGCAAAAGCAGACCTCTGCTTAAACATCATACAAAATTCCAAAGTTCAATAAACAAACAAACAAACAAACAAACGAAAAGGTTACCCTTTATCATCAACCCACAAACAGAATTAGATATTACAAGTACTAGAACTTTCCAGCTGGCTTACAACAACTATGCCCTCCCCCCTTACCTTATAGGGACAGCACCTAAGAGGCTTGGAAGGTGTTGCTATTTAAGTCTTAGCAATGTTGTTCAACCTTCATGCCACTCTTCAGAGCTACCCTTTGACTCCAGGCAAGCAGGTGCCTGGCTAGGCCCCCTGCCTCAGGGACCACTCACCCTGCTCTTGGAATGCCTCCTCGGGGACTTTCCACGCCTCCTCCCAGTGTCTGCAGCCAGCGTTACCATTTGGGGTGGAGGGCCCACGCACACACAGGGCCATGCCTAGGTGCTGCTGCTGGGAGCTCCGACCTTGAAATGCCCTCTGGTGACTGGGACCAGCTGGCTCCCACTCTGCCCTTCAGGGCACCAGGTCAACCAGCTGCCCCAAAGCGCTCCAGAACCTACACATAAAGGGTCCAGACCGGTTCCCAGAAGAGGTTCCTGGTGAGCAGACTGCCCCTGGTGGCCAGCCCATAAGTCCTTTTCCTTGTTTCCCCATGGGATCATGGGAGATGGACCCACCAGAATGGTGCTGAGTCACCAATCTGAGGGTGCCTCAAATTGCTTATGTAGATAGGAGCCCCACAAAACATAGTTACTGAGGGGCCACCAGGCCCCTTATGGTTTTTGCAGTAGGTGCGTGCAACTGATTTTCTTGAAGTTAACTTGCTTTCTGAAAGCTTTATACCACTTTTCCAGCATAGAAACCCAGAACCATCTTAAACAGAAAACAAGGATTAAAAAAAAAAAGATACAGCCGTTTAAAAAGCAAGCCTCTGTTCACCATTTATATGTGAGCACACTGGGTAAGCACAATGAAATTCATGTGCCTTAGTTTCCCCAGATATAAAATGAAGATATGAATAGTCCCCTCACACAGGCATGAGGTGCTTAATAACAAATATTAACAATTGATACAATCGCCATCAGTTAGCAAACAGATTGAAGACTCACCAAAGCTGTACCTCTTGTCCCTACATCTGAAGGAAAGATTCAGAGCTCTGACAATAGGTACTGAATTTTCCTAACCAGATGGTTCCAAGTCGAAAATGTGTGCTTATCCATTTTTCAAATCCTGGTTGGAGTGGGAAACCTCTCGCCCTGGGGCCCCCCGTCACTGCCCCGCCTCGCTCAGCGCCGTGGAGTGCTGTCCTGGCTGAGACAGACACCGGGTTAGCAGCAAGGGGCGCTCAGGAATCATAAGATCCGGGGGAGAAAATAAAATGCTGACCCCTACACAGCCTTTTCGGGTTCATCGATGGAAAGAAACGGGGTTTGGCAGGAGCTGGTTGAATGTAAAATTACGGGAGAAGGCACAGACCACAGGGCCGAATGGAAGTGACATTGTTTGGCTTGAGGAACCTTGGCAGCTGTGAGGAGCTACCTGAGATGCATTTGCAGTCAACATTATGCCGTTTTATGGGATGAAGGTGAATGAGATTGGACCAAACCATCTGCAGAAAGGGCTTCCCACTCTAATCTGTCCCCCCTTCGTCCTGCATGGGACACAAACTAGTGCATAGATGGTCAATTTATGACAACGGAGCAGGTTATTCAATGGGAGAAGGATGATCTTTTCACTAAAGGGTCATGGGGAACCTGCAGTGTCCCCCAAGAGATGAAAACCTCTGCCCTGTGCCAGGAATTTCAGGAATTCTTGCTTTCCTAGAAATTTCAAACTGTGACTCAGCACAGAACTCCAGGCACAAAGTACAGTGACAATCTGATCTTAACCTTTTTTAAAAAAATGATTATTATTAGCAGAGAGGGAGGCTGTCACAGCCTTCTGTGAGGAACCGATGAAACTTGCCCCAAGGCGCCCCTAGAACACACTGCTGCTGGCCCTCTGCCCCTCAAGCCGACAGGGCAGACTTCAGTCAGAGCACCCACAGGACGGTCTTACCGAAAGTGCGCATGTACACTCGGCAGACTCAGGCACCTCCCGTGTGTCTTCTCAATGGCCATTTCTAGCTCAAGGGGACCCCAATCTTCCTAATTCCCAGTCTCTTCACCCCACCCCTCCAACACCCCTCCAAGCACAGCCTTTTTATGGCAGCACCATCTGAGCAGTTGCTCAGTCAATAACATGGGTGTGACCCTGGCTCGCTTGCTCTCTCCAGGCCCTGCACATCAGCACATCTTGGTGGGCCCACCTCTGAAGTCACACCTCCTGGCCTCAGGCTCACTGGACCACCTATATCTCCTGCCTGTACGATGGTTGCTGTCCGGGTTCCCTCCTGTCCTCACAGCCACCAGATGGAGCCCAAAGGAAACGCCCATCACACCTATGCCTAACGACCTCCAATAGCTTCCCTTTGCACTTATCTCCCTCCCCCCAGATTTACTTAGGTATAAAGGACAAATTAAAAAGTGTATATATTTAAGGTATACAACATGTAAAAATTGTAGAATAATTACCAAAATCAAGCCATTTAACACATATCAGCTCACAGTTATCTTTGTGTGTGTGTGTGTGCTGTGAGGCATTTGAGATCTACTCTCTTAGCAACTTTCAAACATTCATTAGGTTCCCAGAGCTCATTGTTCTCATAGCTGAAAGTTTGTACCTTTTGACTAAAATTTCCCTATTTCCCCCAGCTCATCCCCAGTAACCACGGTTCTACTCTGTTACTACAAGTTTGGCCTTTTTGGTTTCTTCCTATAAGTGATATCCCACAGCATCTGTCTTCCTCCTTCTGGCTTATTTTACTTAGCACAGTGCCCTCCAGGTTCGTCCACATTGTGAAAAGCAATGTCACAAAGTGGTCTACAGATTTAGTGTAATCCCTATTAAAATTTCAGTGGCATTTTTCAGAAATAGAAAAAACAATCCTAAAATTGGTACGCAACCCCAACCGACCCCAGATAGCCAAAGCAATCTTAAGTAAGGAGAATGAAGGTGGGGCATCACACTTCCTGGTTTTAATTTGTGTTACAGAAGCAATGGCAATCAAAGCAGTATTGTACTGCCATAAAAACAGACATGATCAGCCCAGCCAGGGTGGCTCAGTGGTTGGCCATCAACCTAATAACTGGAAGATCACAGTTTGATTCCCGGTCAGGGGGGCACATGCCCAGGTTGTGGGCTCGGTCCCCAGTGTGGGACTTGCAGGAGGCAGCTAATCAATGATTCTATCTCATCATTGATATTTCTTCTATATCTCTCCCTCTCCCTTCCTCTCTGGAATCAATAAAAAATGTATATTAAAAGTAATAAAATAAAACACACACACACACAAAAAAAAGACACAATCAGTGGAAAAGAATAGAGAGCTCAGAAATAATCTCATGCATATATGGTCAGTTAATTTATGATGAAGGAGCAAGGTTATAGGATGAGGGAAGGATAATCTTTTCACTAAATGGTCATGGGGAAACTGGACCCCTATCCACATTCACAAAACTCAGCTCAAAATGGACTGAAGACTTAAACATAAGACCTGAAACCATGAACATCCTAGAACAAAACATAGGTAAGCTTCTGGACATCAGTTTTGGCAATGATTTTTTCTTTAAAAATTGACACCAAAAGCACAGGCCACAAAAGGGCAGTTGGGGGCAACCAGGCCAGCAGGGGAAGATAGGTAAGGACTACCAGACTGGCAGGGGAGGGCAATTCTGGGCGACCAGGTTGGCAGGGGGAGGCAGTTAGGGGCAACGGGCTGGCCAGGGATCAGTTAGGCATCAATCAGACTGGCAGAGGAGTGGTTAGGGGTTAATCAGGTTGGCAAGCAGAAGTGGCAGAGGCAGGTGAGCAGTTGGGAGCCAGCAGATTGGATTATGAAAGGGATTTCTGACTGCCGGTTTAGGCCCAATCCTGGTCCCCTAGCCCAGCACCAGGACAGGAAGCGCATCTTGAGGTCCCCTGTTAAGCCCTGCCTGGTGTGGGGTGTGGCCTGAGGTCCCCCGTCAAGCCCATGGGGGCAGGATAAGTGTAGCTTCAGGTCCCTGCTGATTGCTCATTAAGGTTCCTTATGAGAACTTGGCCTC